TACAAAAAGTTTTAAATTATTTTATTAAGAAAGCACTCAAAACTTACCATTTGCACGACCTTTAATATATATAATCTATTAAATCTCTAAATCGCTATTATCATATTATTTTGCCCTCTTAAATCTCAGTCTTTATCTATTATATATCTATCCTCAGGTCAGATAACCTGTTGATATTTCTTAGTTTTTTGTTTGTTTTCTGTTGCTGTTTTTCTCTTGTTTTTTTCTTGTTTTTTCATTCTTTATTGACACCACTGTAAATAATATAATCATTGTTACTTTAAATGATGTGTACCAATGTATTTTTCTGTTATACAATAAATGTTAAAAAAGCGCTCCATCAAACTGTATGGAGAGCCTCAACAAATGGTAGTAATAAACATTTACAAAGCGATGTAATACTTTTAAAAATCACAATCACAATAGATAAATATATACTGTATAAACATGCCTAATATCCAATGGCCAGAAAGTGATTAAAATTTTTATAAATTGTTAAAATATTGATGTCTGTAATGCAGAAAGTCCAGAAACTGTTGTGTCCACCATGAGTTTATATAAAGTTCACTTTAATATGTGATATGACTAAAATGTGGTCATAACTGAATATTTTCTCAATTCAAATGAGTAGTGGCTTGGACCCAGAAACAGTATTGCTTACGTCACGACATAACAAGCAGATTGCATTCAAGTTAATGCAAAGATGAGGATGAAGGAGGATTACCAACCTAATCCAAGTGGATGCTGCACACTTGTGGTGGTGTGGAGAGAAGTGCTTTGGGTGTATGGTCATACACGATAAATGCGCAATATAAATACACATTATGTAACATTACAACCCTGCGGTTTAAACAACTGAGTGATTCTGAAATTTTTTTTTTTTTTAAAAATCAAGATACAATTATAAATCTGTTCAGCTGTGTCATATGAAAAATAAATCTTTGCATTTGAATCTAAAAATTTAATTACTGCACAATGTTTAACCATGACTAAACATTGAAAAGTTTTATTATATTGTAAAGTAATTATATTTGATCAAATTTTATGTTGTATTTTGACACTCCTGTCATTCAGTTATCTGTTTTGGTAACACAAACAAAACATTATGTTATGGTTTGTCACAATTCATGCTAATAACAACTTACTTATTACCTGCCTATTATAAAGATATTAACTGTTCATTAGTAGTTAGTGTAAGTATGATCTCATTCTGCATCCCTGAATCCTACCCAAAACTTCAAAGCAACTTCTACCTTACTAACTTTTAATAAACGGCTAATAGTAGATTATTAAGCCAGTAGTGTTGGTTAATAGTTTGTCAATACCATGAATTGTGACCTAAAGTGTTATCTTTCTTTTAAGAAGTAATTTCAAGTCTTATTACTGTCTATTTAGTTAATGCTTAACAACCGATGAGCTATTTGCTAATTCTTAATAAATGATTTATATTGTGCAGTTGTTGTAAAGTGTTGTAAAATATTGAAACATCTGAATTCTTTTAACACATTGTAATCCCCCGTGCAGTGCTGGAGAGTTGGCTGGACTACACAGGTGAGCTGGAGCCTCCAGATCCACTGGCTCGACTCCCTCAGCTGAAACATCGCATCCGACAACTGCTCACTGACCTGGGAACTGTCCAGCAGATCGCACTCTGCTCCTCGTCCTCTTGAGGGCGCCAGAGAACAGCTCAAACTCGATCGCCAATAGATACACGTGCCTGTTTGTTTGTTTTTTTACTTTCTCTCTCTAAAAAAATCAAGCAAGCTAATGTTTCTGGCACATGTCTGTTGGACTGATGAACATCCAAGCTAACTGATATCTGATGCAAACAACGGTTTTTATTTTATAACGCTTCATTGTAGCACTTAGCTGTCTGTCATAGACCTAGCAGGTATTTTGATATCGTTTGTTTTTTTTTGTCATTTCCTCTGTGTTCTTGACATGCTAAATAATTATTTGTGTTACTTCATATGTAATCAGTTTTTTTTGGGACATTTTCCCTCTGGGTAAAGAGCTTAAAAAAGGAACTGAAGGGTATTTTGCTGTAGTTAAAGTAAAAAAAACAAAAACAAATGTTAAATATGAGCATAACAATATACAAAAGCTATATTTTAAATCTGAAAACACTTGCATTTTACTTCTATATTTGTACTAATGGCTATGAGAGTCATGTGATCTTGTAAATAACTCAACCGATTGCTTCAATACGTGTTCTTTTTTATTTTTAAATGAAACTATTGCATTTACAGTAAAGACTTTCTGTAATCTTTGATCTGTTGTGAATACTGTAATTGTGGGCTTTCCGCCTATAACCATCCCTTTTTGTTTTATTTTGTTGACACAATTGATGTTGGTTGCATTTCAAATCTGTGGACTTTTTCCACTGGCGCATATTACATAAGCACAGAATGTTGTTCACTTGCTGACCGAGCATGTATCTCTGTATGTCTGTTTCTTTTCTTCTTCTAATTTCTGATTTTGTTTCTATTCACTTTCCTGTCGCTCTCGAGGCTACGCATTTTTGAATTAAGACATTAGATGCCTTTTAAGTTATTGTAATTGTGAATTTAAGTTATTGATTTTACTTTGGTCCATTGGTTTTCTTTTATACGGATTATTGAATGATTAGAGAGAACGAGAGAAAAGCTGGGGTCTTTTTTATTAGTGTTCTCGCCCTGTGGTGTTAGGATTTTCATTTAGATCATTACTGTTTATATAAAAAATGTGCTTAATCTTACTTCAGGCAAATTTGAGTGTCATTCACTTTTAAACACACACATACACACAAGAGACATTTGTTATAAGCCTGTGGATTGATATAATCCTGCCGATGGGTGTTTTTATTTTTATTTGATTTGTTTTTGTAAGTTTCTTTGTACAACTAATGAGTGGTTGACCAATTGACTTCCTCAGTATTGTGTATTATATTTTTTTGTCTGCCCTGTTGCTTTCCAGTAATGGAAATCTACTTATGAATCATAAGTATTGCTGACTTTTTTATGTATTTTTTTTCATTGTTGCCATCTTATGTCAGGGGTCCCTTGAAATCTACAAGTTCTGAAAAATATTGACATATAATCCAAATGCAAGGAAATAAATGCAAACATTTAAACTCAACAGTTGTTTGGTTTTATTTTGGACTGGATACTTTTTAAGTGCACTCAAAAAATAGCTGTTTTTTCAAACTAATTAATTTAAATGAGCTGAAACAACACAATTCATGATATTTTTGCCACAATTTAATTGTTTTATGCTCAATCCACTTACATTTGTAAAGACTAATAAGTTAACTTAATTCCTTCATGTTGTCCTAACACGAATTAATAGTGTGAACTCTGCATTTCTTTACAGTGTAGATGGTAGTAACATTTTTATTTATTTATTTATTTTTGCTTTGTTTTATTACAAGTTAGTAGACAATTGTAATTAGCAATTAAGACTTGTTATACAAACCATTATTATTTATATAAAGCAAAGTTTAAAATGCTTGGTGTAATAATTTTTTAGCCAATGTTAAACATGTTTACACAAATATATACTTTCAAAAAAGCACTAATACAATGGGAAAATATGAACATATACTTAATTCACCCAGTAAATCCAGAGAAGCTGGCAATTGTCAAGCGGTCACTTTAATTTTATTTACTGTTCATAGCTGCATATACCATCGATGGATGGATGGATAGATAGATAGATAGATAGATAGATAGATAGATAGATAGATAGATAGATAGATAGATAGATTTTTTTGTAATTACAAGTTGCTCAATGGATAAATTACATAACTAAACCAGTAATTTAACTTGATTGTTTAAATCAAAAATATTTACCATCAATAAAACAACTTTTATTCATAAGTTTATTCCAACAAAACGATTAGGCAGACCAAAACAAGTTGTAATGACTTTTAAAGTAGGCACATTTATTGCCTATTTAATTCTTAATGCTTCATAATTCGCAACACAATTTTGATGTTAATTAGCACATTTATGTTGCAGATTTAAATATTATTGCATAATTTACAATTTACTTTTTATTTTAACCTTGATCACACCATATCCATTGCATGTTTAACTCATTTTGCATAATTTGTGATTTATTTAGTAATTTCTTCAATTCAATTGTTTTAAATTTTATTATTGGTGGCTCAGTGGTTAACACTGTCACCTCACAGCAAGAAGGTTGCTGGTTCGAGTTCTGGCTGGGCCAGTTGTCATTTTGGGTTGAGTTTGCATGTTCTCCCCGTGTTGGTGTTGGTTTCCTCTGGGTGCTCCGGTTTCCCCCACTGTCCAAAGACATGCAGTGTAAAGTATAAAGTGGATTGTATTAAGTAGATTGGCCATAGCGCATAAGTGTGTATGGGTGTTTTTTGGTACTCGGTTGCAGCTGGAAGGGCATCCGCTGCGTCAAACATATACTGGAATAGTTGGCGGTTCATTCCACAGTGGTGACCACTGACAAAAAAAGGGACTAAGCCAAAGGAAAATCAATAAATGTATATTGATTAGTAATTTGTGACTTGGCGTATTTTGTAACTTACTTAGTCATTTTTGAATGTATTTCTATGTTAATTAAACATTTATTGTACATTTAATTCTTAATGTTGCATGATTTAAAAAATAATAATGTTTTATTTTATTCTAATTTATATGTTTGCTGCTTCTACAAACTATATAAAATTAGCTTAACATAATTCTTAAGTGTTTTTAGGCACAATGTTTAATACTGTTCAATTCACTTTAATTTGTAAAAACAATTAAGTTAACTTAATTGAATTGTGTTGGGACAACATGAAGTGACTGTGTGGAACCTAGCTTTTTACAGTGTATTTTACTAGTTTGACAATGTGAGATAAGACATTATACACATATAAATTTGATTTTCTGGTTACGTTTTTATTTGTATTTTATTATTAGAAAATTATTAGAACATTTCATGTGTATAATAGAGTAACCTAAATGTCTGACCTCAGCTCAGTGTGAAGCATGCAGTGTCCAATCTGTCTGGTTGTCAGTCAGTTCTCGTGAGCTCCTCCTCCGGCAGCGCGAGGAATCAACCACAGCACCGCCGCACGCGAGAGCACAGCACACAAATCCGCCGAGCACACAGTACAGTACAGCACGCCGAACAACTCTCCTCTGCTCCTGTTCACTGCTCATCCAGCACGCTTAGATCTTCATCAACGGTGAGGCTTGAAATCTTTTCATTTTCACGTCCTGATGTTTCAATTTCTGTCTTCAAGTCATTGACTTGATGAGTAGTTGTGCGCTGCTGCGAGCTAACAACAGCAGCTAGCGCGACACTAACGTCAACATTACTCCGTTATACACAAGCCAACGCTTTGTTGTCGTAAATACTCTTTGAGTGAGGTAAATGTGTCATCATTGTCTCTTCTATCGTTACTACTTAAAGCATGGATGTGTTAAAGACCAATAACCGTCAGCAGCTAGTCCTGTCACATTGAGTCAGTACGTAATGCCTATAACGTGAAATCCTGTAAGATCTAGGACAGCTTGATTCATTCTTTGATTGTTGTGAGTGTTTATTTGTTTTATTTTAGTTGTTTGATTCATTCTTGGATTGTTGTGAGTGTTTATTTAGTGTCAGTGTTTATTTGTTTTATTTAGTTGTTTGAACGTGTCCAGCACTCAGTCAAGTTGAACTTCCACAATGTGCGTCTAGATTTGGACTTTAGTCTCCTCTTAGCTGTACAGTATTTTTGTATAGCTGAAACTATTAATTTTTCTCTTTTAAAATGTAGTGTTTATCACTTAAACTTTCATCCTGACGTCTGTCATCTCTCACTAAAACTAAAAAGTCTTCAAATCAGTTCTAAACGGGTATACTGTAGATGCCACATGGCAGATTGTGAGCCCATGTTGTGTAAAAAGGGCTGCTAACCCATTTTCCCAAAATACTGCAAGAGAAACACCACAGCAGCAAAGCCATCTGATTAGTGACATGAGTCCAGATGCTTGTGGTCTAGTGATCACCAACAAGTGGGACAAATTAGAAGAAAAAAAAACAGCCAAGAAGTCTTTTGCCAGCTGGGGATTAATGGCTATAGATAGCAGTAGGATTTTTGATGACCATCAATCTTTAAGTGACCCTGTTTACATCCTTTATTAAAATGTATTTTTGTCAACCCAGGTAGCACATGAACGTCTGCATTAGCCCGTTGCAGTATGGTACGAGTCACATTTATCAGGCTTGCGTTTCCACTGCCAAAAGGATACCAATGGTGGGCCTGGTGAACGACAGAAAGTTTCAGTCGACATTATTCTTGCTCGTGGAAATGTCAAAGTAAAGCTCACTAAATGCTTTATAAACATAAATACTTAAATGTTCATTACTATTACTAACTATTCTATGAACATGATTTGATTATAACTGCAGATCAGTAATATGCCAAATATCCTTCTTTAATGTCTGCAGTTACATAAAATAAATCGATAAATGCAACATATAATGCATGCAGACTCTTATAGTCTCAGATATGTTCCCAATTGCAGAATACCTACACACATCATACATTTAGTCCTTATTCGGGTTTAAAAACAACACGCAACACATAGCCCACAGTCAGTGCAAACACCTCATCTGTGTCTGTAATCTTCAGCAGCTCATGTAGTCTCTGTTAGAGAATAATTCTGTCATTCTCAGTTCATAATAGTCCAAAAGGTAATGATAATAAATAAACATGGCAGTTTGTTCAAGTTTTAGGTTGCTGAAAGAGTCATTTGCTCCTTTGTTTTTTCGGCTTCTCCTTTGTTTTTTCAATCTTCTCTCTCGTTTTTCCGTTTCTGAAAAGATCAGATGTCAGAAGCACTTCAATAATCACATGCACGTTGTTATCATCAGCTCAAGAAGTTCGTTATTTTAAATATAGAAGTGCGGCAAGTCAGCTGTTTGTGTTGCTCTGCACTTCCAAAGTGCTAGCTGGCAGGGAGGTTTTTGTTTCTGTGTGTCGAGTTTAATTGCTGGTGTGTTTTATTTTTTATGAACACTACCTTATTGTGCAAGTAGCTAAAACTGGCTCTTTCTGAGGTGGGAACTAACAGACGTGCAACAATCTTAGGCCCCGTTTACACTAATGCGTTTTAGTTTGAAAACGCATAAGTTTTGCTGCGGTTACGCCATCCGTCCACACTACGCCGGAGTTCTCGAGCGCCGAAAACGGAGCGTTTCGAAAACGCTGGAGAGGCCGTTTTCATTCTAAAACGCTGCTGCTCCGTCTCAGTGTGGATGGGGAAAGACGGAGACATCTGAAAACGGAGGCGGGGCTGCAGACATTCGCCTCTCTGATTGGGGCTTTTCCTCAATATTAAGTAGCCTAACACACAGTTCAGTCCTGAATCTTCTCCGTGTAAGTTCAGACTTCGCAAGTTTGATCAAGGCTGCATCTCTTCTTCTCAGTTTGATATGGAAAACATACCGAGGACATGCGTCAATCTTCACAGGGAACAGTGTACTTTATAACTTCATTCACATCACCTTGGCTACGTTGTTTCACTTTCTCAACAATAAAATGTAAACTTGATATAAGGAACTGCCTATTTTTATTTTAATATTAACAACTAAACAGACAGCAGAAATGTTGAGGCGCCGTGCTGTACGAGCGTCATCTTCACTGTGTGCATATTTATAACAAAACGGAGCCGATAACAACTGCCTCCTTTCAATTTCAGTGAAAATACGAAACACACCCTCTCTTTTGCTGAATATCAGTTTTAATAATCGATAATGGCCATTATAAAAGTATAACATACAATAAGTTTATACATTATAGGAAATAAAGGCAAGCGATCAGTCAATATACAGAATGTAGGCTACGTGGTTACATTAATCATTAACTTATCTTTGCGCTCAGCCAAAACACGTTACCTGAGAACAAGTAATAGATTCCAGTGACCAAAGTCAGGGAATATGTCGACAAGATGAATAAAATATCACGTTTAATAAATATAGTGAGATTAGATCCAGCGGGAGATGCTTGATGAGAAGTCCGACTAGCAGAGCTCTCATCTGGGTAGATGGGCTCCAGCGATTGCCAAAGTGTGTGTGTGTGGTCACGTGATGTGCGTTTTCAGCGTTTTGGTGTGGACGGAGAGCAGTTCAGAAACGCTGGGTAAAACGCGAGTGTGGACGCGGATCGTTTTCATTCTAGAACGCCGTTTTAAAACTAATACGCACTAGTGTAAACGGGGCCTTAAAGGGCCATGAAACCCCCTCGTTTCAGCAGGGTGTTTTCACACCTCTACTCTGGAAAAAGTCAGAAAAGTGGGCGTGTCCAGCTCTGTTTAGGTGGGAGTGTCGGAGGAACTAAAGTGGGAGGGTGTGGGAGTGTCTATTTGGGCACGCGCGAGTTTCAGTCAAAATACACACAGGAGAAAGTGATGGTGTTTAACCTACATGGACATCTGTAGTCGAATTATTTCCCAAATATTAAATGGTGGACTTTAACTGCAGTTTTGCTCTTTCATTCAGGGAATTCATTCATGCCCCTCGCGACAAACGAGATATTTGATTCGAGGAACTGCTCTAAGCGTGTATTTTTCATGCAATGTTTGATACCGCACGGCGAATGAGAGAAAAAAAAACTCAGCATTTTCCGGAAACTTAGATGCACACGGCAGGTAGCGTCAGAAAGCCGCGTGTGTTATTCCGGTCACAAAATGCGGTGCTAACATGTTTGCACTCAGTGCAATAGTTAACTTCATTCGATACGAACAAACTGAATAAACAAAGAGCACTGGTCGCTCACTTACCAAATCTGTAGAGACAGGACAATCCCCAGCAACTAGAGCCGCGTCTTTATTAAAAGAATACTACAAGCGAATCCGGATCTCAGCGTTTGCAGATGAGAACAGCTCTCAGGTAAACAATAATCCTCCTTAGACACGTAAGTTATTGTTGTCGAGCGTCGCGTACACTGTTAATCCACACGTGATCCAGATAAGCTCTCACAGAGAGAAAATGAAAACGAAACTTAATGGCAGCAAACTATAAAAGCAACACTTCACACTTGTTTTGCCAACACAACGTGCCGTCTCTGTGGTGTAAACACGGTGACACTAATGAATATTAATGAAGTTGCACAATAGAGCGCGCTGATTGGTTTGAACCAAGCCTTACTCATGCATTAATGCAGCACACTGTAAGACGTAATAAGACACACTCTGGCACAGACGTCCAGTCTGCACGCTGGGATACAACGCTATTATGTCATGACCGTGACGCAGCTTCAAAAATTAGTTTCAAACAGGAAGTACAAATTTGCTTGAAATAACACAAAAACAACCAATTTACACTTTTTAGTGAAATATAGGTGTCCTAATAGTGTTTTTAGCAGTGTGGGACACATATACGACTGTCAACAGCTCAAAAAAATGTGTTTTGGTGTTTCGTGACCCTTTAAGGTAAACACAGAACAAAACTTTCAACCTGAAGCTCCTTCACTGCGCTCGACACTCGCTCCGTGGACGCATGGCTCTATGTCCCGCCCACACTCGGCTGGGCAACCAAGCCGACAAATCACAAAGCTTGCGTACATGTCATTACAACGTGTAGTTAAATATTTTGAGAGGTCAGTGTCGATGTCAGCCACAGCGAGAGGTATGCGTCCGCACGAAGGCTGTGCTGGCGCATTCGCATATGCATGTGCTTGACGCAAAATTATAATTTAGCCTTAAGTAGGAAGCTATGTGAGTGAGGCTTTCGGGCTGCACTCTCCAGCTGGCCTCTGTTAGACACTAAACTACAACATGCAGTGACCTTCTATTCAAATAGTTGTAAATGACACACTAATGCACTATTATGCTTCAAAAGCTTTTTACTATTAATTAATTAATATAGTGTTTTTGTTGAATTACTAGTGCGTGGGACCGGTGCAGTGCTTTGAAACAGTAGAAATGTATGTCATCGATGCCTAATCTCACTATTCTCTAGAGCAGCACAATTAATCGAAAAAAAATCGCAATCTCGATTCGACCTCTTACACGATCTTGATTCAGCATTTCTACAATTTTGCCAATCATATTTTTAAGTTCAGGAGAGAAGCAAAGGAAGCCGCACAAGTATTCACACTGTTTTACATGCGTTGTTCAGCAACGTGGACACTAGGGTTGTAACGGTATGAATTTTTTACGGTATGATAATCGTCTAAAACAATACCACGGTTTGACG